AAATTAACAGTGAATTATCTGACTGAAATAAGTGTACCTCGGTAGCCTGAGGCTGAGCTGCAAAAATAAATGTGAATGTTGGCCTAGACTTTATTTTTAATTTAAGTAAACCAACTATTTAAGTGTTGCTTTATGTTAAAAAACAACAACAAAAACAAACAGGGCTTCTTTTGAATGCATGTAACACACCTAAAAAGTGAGCTCCATTTGATAATAAATTTTAAAGTAAGGAAAGTGTTTTAAAAAGTCAGCTTGGAAATATTCTTACAGTAAATCCAGTGGCTCTTTTGTACATGTTTGTAAGTCCCATGTGATAGATTTGGGAGCAACAGTACAAAGCAACGGCAACAACACATGTAATGTTGAGTGTCTGTGTCGGACAAGAAAGCTGCTTACAAGGAATTTGACCTTTTAAACATACAGACATATGTAAGGTACTTAAAAAAAAATAAAATCAGAAAAGTTTAAAGTTCTAGAAAATATAATTTTCTAGCGGCATTAATTAGCTATCCAGTACCTTAATTGTTTTCTACTGTCTTAGACTGATAATTTTGATTTCTTGGGAAAAGACAGGCAGAAAGTAAATATATTGTCTGAATAGGCTTGTGGTGGCCTACACATTCCGACTTTGTACTGAGTTTCAGAGTAAAGCAATGATCACCTTTCTAGAGGCCCTCTCCATGACTTCCGAGAGAACATTATCAATCACTGTACTAGAGGCTTTATCTCCAACAGGCTCATTCCCAGAAGTCCTAAGCCCTGGAGTTCTTACCAGTGTCCTGGCATCCTGGGAATTCACTTGATCAACTGGGCAGAGGCATTTCAAACTCAGGAACCGCATGCTGGGAATTTGGTTTTATGTGTCCCAAAGTTGTGTGATTCTCTTTAGAGGTTTTACTTGCTAATAGCGATGCCCCAGAAAACCATCTTGTTTAGCCAATGTGATAAGTTGACAATGTAGTTTTCCTCTCTGATTATAATGTACTCTGTGTAGTCAATACACTGCTACCATGTGAGTGTAATTTCCTCCTTTATTTTATCTCCAATGCACTGTATTATAAATAAACAGTTAAAAAAAAACACCAAACAAATCTGTTGCATCTCCTTTTAAGATTGTACCACTGTAGACACTTGTTCTAGTAAAGTAGAATTGGGCGCATTTGATTGCATTTAAATTTTTCATGCTTCAGCAGTTTGGCTGGGAGCACAGTAAAGAAAAATCCCATGAGCGAGGGTAGTTTAGAATAATAGAACTTGATTTTGTGTATTATAGCGGCAACATTTGCGCTGCTTTAGTTAGGGTTGTGTCAGCACTTCCATTATAAACCCCTGTTTTCAGGGGGTATAACTAGGGAGATTTTTTTTAATACAAATTAAAAAAAAAACACAATTCATTTGAATGATTTTTTAAGTTATAATAGTGCAAAAATATAACAAAGTGGAGTCACATTAAAAACTGACCGTTTTCACGTGGATTTTGACTGTGTGTGTGGCTCTTAGCTGTGTATGGCAGTAGCCAAAGGAAGGTGCTGTTCAAACAGACGAGGGTGAACATTCTTGTAGTGGAAAATACTGAAATTCACATTAGAAAGCAGACTTAGCAGTCCACGTGACTCTTTAAAACAATAGAACAAGCATGTATTTGATTTATGAGTTTGTAAAGGAGAGTAGCTATGCTGTGGTGGTTATAGCCTATCCTCGCCAAATGTCACGTGTCTTTGTGGCTTCTAGAATACAGTGTAGTCGGTCTAGAAAAATGTTCCAAAAGGGAAAACTCAAAGAACATGATGAAATATGGATATAATTAGTAAAGGTATTGGGTCTTTAATAAAGTAATTGTGTACAGATAACCAGCAAATCGAATCTAATCATAAGAATCTTGGTTATTTAATGAAGCATGCATTAAAATGATTTGTGCACATTTTCCCTTTAGAAAACCAAAAACCCCACAAAGCAAATGGACAAACACAAACCTGAAATCAAACCTTCATGAATTCATAAAAAAGAAATGCCCTTTTCTTTTGCACTAGTGGAGAAGTACCTTGCACATAGCATAGAAGCCACTCTTTTCTCCCTTAGTCATGATTTTTGAGAAGTATATTAAATATGGGATAGAAAATGTATTCTTAGAACAAAAATGATATTAATTCCTTTGCTAAAGAGAAGGGTTTCCAAGTTGAGTGTACATGCCTCCTTGGTTGTTGACCCTTGATGATGCTATGAACTGCGGGTCAACAGTCAGGTTCAATATTGATATTTTGAGGACAACCTTCCTTTTTATTGGCAACCTTAATACACACTTGTATTTGTAGGTGCAAACCCAAAGACAAATTGTGTGATTCCAAATTTAGCTTTTCCTGAATGGTCACTGGAGGAATCACCAGAAGACTGTTGATGGAGTAGAGGTGAAGCCTTTCCTCACTAATTGTATTCAGTGTGTAATTTCTAAACTTCCCTCTGAATTTTGATTTTCAATTAACACTCCCCATTTGAAGATAATTTTCTATTTAATGTAATTGCAGGAAATAATTTATTGGCTGATTAAGACTGGGGGCCCAGCTTTCCTTAAGAAAACACTCTAACAAACCAGCCTTTAAACTCAACTCATAGCTTTTGGACAGATTTAGTCTATTTTTACAGCTGCACGTTTGTGTTTAATTAGGATGGTGCACTATTGTTCACTGGTGCCGTCTATCATTGCAATTATTCTTAAGAGACTGTTTTCATTTTGGATTTTGTGTCATGATTAATTTATACCAATGGAACAATCACATATATTGCTATTGGAAGGAGCCAATTCACTTTATAATAAGGGGATGTCTGTTGGGGAGCTAAAGTTAATCTTTTGAATTATGACTTTCAATTGTACTTAACTGTTGTTAAAAACAGCAGTAAATTCATGCTTTCATTTTTAATGTAAATGATTGCATTATCGGGACTGTCATTATCTGAACTATGAAAACATTCTGGTTGTTTATAACAAGTTTGTGCTAAATTAGCCAAACAGTTTCTTTTCATTTGTAACTGGCCTGGCCTTAATATGATGGTGCATCTAAGAGTTGGTTGGAAAATGATATTTAAAAGCTAATAGGATTTTCCCCTGAACTTTTTGAAGGCCCCTATAATTATGATACCTATCCAGTGAGCTCTAGAGGATGCTTGTGTACTGAGAAACATCCTGTAGTACCATTTACAACAAGTGCATGGAAGGATTCATATGTGTACATTTATCCATCTGTTGGCATTGATAGAAATTGGTCAAAAATGTATTTACCTAATTCTTTGCTATCATAAGACTAGAAGCACTCAGCAAATGTAAACACTCTCTGCACGCCCTTTCCCCCCTTTTATTTTAGTTTCAAGTCTAATGGATGAAAATTTCATTATTTGTAGAATGAATATTATAAATAGGTATCAGCGTATTAATATGTTTCAAAGCATTTCAAAAGCCTGTAATACTTTTATTTAGAACTGTGCATAATTAGATTAACTGATCTTATATTAATGTTTTTTCACTGTAGGATACTAGATCTGAGCCCCCTCATTAATTGTGAGAAATTTAGCATTAGCTGTTAAATCCTATGTGAAACATGGGCTGCTACATAAAAACTACTGTTTAAATTGGAATTAACTTAATTATTTTTCTTTGCACTTGATATTTCCTTCACTGCAATATTCATGAAAGCATGTGACAGATTTGTAAATTTAACTGTTAATCTCAGATTTCTAGACCCTTTAATCAGTATTTATTTGTCTGTAGAAACAGTACTAGCAAGTTAATGATTTGCTAATTTGAAAAATGCTCATGTGGTTTCCTATGTTAACTGATTTGTGCATTAAAAAAAAATGGTATGAAATCAATTAATGTTAAAGAGCAATTAAGGTGGAGGGCTTATCCCTTTCATTACACAGCAGTTTTAGATGCCACAAACCCCTGACAACTAAAGTTTCTGTAAACAACAACAAAAAATTCAGCTGCCCCTTCTCTTGAGGTGGACACTTGTTTAGAGATTTTATTTCTAGCCAAATCATGAAGACGAACCATCTTTATCGAATGACATTCTTCCTGTAAGTCATGAAATTCCGTTTAATAGGCACAATTTACTAGAGAGTGAAGAGGCTGTCATGCTGAGTGTAGTAATCTTTTCTATGTGGATAAATATAATAGTGCTCGCCAAATATTCTTAGAGGCTTAAAAACATTACGCATTTGAATATTATCTCATTTTCAGTATAAGACGTACAGTCATTACCAATATGCAATTAAATTGGTACAAAATTGCCTATCATTATCACCCACTCAATCAATATGTCATTTGAAGGTTTTCAGCAGTTGCTATGCCTTAAAAGTCTTTATAAAAGGATCAGATTGGCTCTAAGCAGTATTGGACCTAACATGCAGAATGCGAGGTATCAAGTAGGAAATCAGGACCAATTTTGCTTAGTACTGCCACTATAGATTATTTACCCTCCTGCTTAGTTCTGAATCTATTTTTCACATAGAGTTTCTTCATTTTTAGTCAAATTGTGTTCTACCATAAACCTCAGGAACATTTTGGATATTTTTATTTTCAACTTATTTGACAAACCGGCCCATTCACCAGTTTATTCATTTATTTTTAATTGTCAACTGTCTATCTTCCTAATTGCTCTCAAGGAGCTTATAATTTAGTGGAGAGAGAAAAAATACACATGTACACAGACACACTCTCCTATACTCGCAAATACATGACGATGTATTATGAAAACTTACTCTATAATAACTTCATTTGTGGATTGGCCAGAGAGGAAAACATGTAACAATTACTGGGAAGGGGTTTACTGAGTTAAGAGAGAATGTGGGCGCATCTCCGTTCTTTTTCAGTGGTATAGAGTAGTTCATACACATTTCTAAATTTAGAGGATGTTCCTTTTTCCCTGAATGACCACAATGGAAGGAGCAGTTTGTTTTGTTGTTGTTGAGAGTCCATTTTAATCCATCATGTTTTTTTCCTTCTGCAGAAGAATGTCTTCTAAGCAAGCCACCTCTCCATTTGCCTGTGCAGCTGATGGAGAGGAAGCGATGACCCAGGATTTGACCTCAAGGGAAAAGGAAGAGGGCAGTGATCCACATGTGGCCTCCCATCTGCCTCTCCACCCCATAATGCACAACAAACCTCACTCTGAGGAGCTACCAACACTTGTCACTACCATTCAACAAGATGCTGACTGGGACAGCGTTCTGTCGTCTCATCAACGAATGGTGAGCTTTGAAACCTGTCCGCTGCCATTCAGTTGGTGCCCTGCAGGTGTAGGGGGTGTAGAGAGTTGGGTTGCTAACAGCAAAGTCAGCAGTTTGAAACTACCAGCTGCTTGCTCCTCCGGAGAAAGATGAGGCTTAAAGAGTTACAGTCTCAGAACCCCATGGAGGCAGTTCTATCCTGTCTCTAGAGGGTCACTATGAGCTGTGATAGACTATAATAGATGAGATGACAGTGAGTTTGATTTGGTCATTCAGTGGTATCAGGTAGTAGCGTTACAGATAGGTATTTAAGGGAAATCTCAAAATACATAGTATTAGAATTATTTCTTTTTAGGCGCATCTTTTGGGGGAAAAAATAAGGATTGCATGTGATTTAGGGCACATGAGATCAGTTTACCAAAATTCCGAACTGAAGTTAGTAAACTTAGTAAGATTACAAAATAAGTATGATCAAATAAAGTGTGGCTGTGAATTAATACAGAAGAATCATATTGAGCAAATGTGTATGCGAATGAGGTCATGTGGTAAATATATCCTTCGTGAAGACATGTAGGTATTTGTCATTTTAATGGTCAGTTTTGATTTATAATAAAGCTTTTCTCACTTATGCACCTATATATCAATTTCCAAAAGGCACGCAAAGCTCCTGAGTATCGTTCAATCACGCTGCAGGAGTTTACCCGACGAGTAAGAGCCGTGTGAAATGCATGCAGTGGGTTCTCCTGCTTCCCCAGGTTAAATTCTGTCTCTGACCCTCAGAACAGAAACCTGAATAAGTGAAACTAGGACCTAATTTAAAGCAAACTATCCATGTTTTATTTTTAGAATCTAGAACTGATCGAAACCTTAATACATTTCATTAGATTAGAAATTTTAAACCCTGTTTGGCATTTCTTGGCTTTTGGTTAAGTTAATGAGAATATTTTAAGTGGGCAGTGAGGAAAAGTAAATTAAAAAAAACAAGGGAATACTTGAAAATAACTTTAGCATGAATAACGCATATTTAAATTCTCATCCTATACTTCATGTCTTAGGACCAAGTCAGAGACTCGATTCAATGATTTATAGAGACAGACATGTTTCTTTTCAGTTGGTCTTGCAGACACAACCACTTGCTCTGGAGCAGCAACAGAGAGCTGGGGAGCTGCAGGAGAAATAGACTGTATTAGAACTAATTTTAGGTGAGAAAGGAGTCAACATTGTATTATTAGAGAGATTCTTGGGAAGATTTATTTTCCTTGCATGAAGGAAGGCAGGGGTATAGTAAAGCCAGACCAATGTTCTATTTTTCTGATTGAACTTACTAAGCTGTTTATTTTATAACTCCATGACAACATAGGTGACATACATATCCAGCCACTGCCATTTATTTAGGCCAGGTAATGGGACTCTGTTCCATCATTTATTTATTTGTCTTTTTTATATTGCTGAGACTATGTTTCACTTTGATTACAAGTCTTTATTGTACATCTTTTCATTAAGAAGCACTCCATAAGGCACTGGCAGTAGAGTAGTGTAGAAAGCACGCATGTGAGAGAGGGAAGAAGTTAAATAGACACACAACTAAATATATAATTCCAATTGTGATAAGTGCTGTGAAGAAAAAGAATAAGATGCTATCTGAGAACATAATAGGTAAACCTAATGTAGAATGAATGTTAGAGAATGCCCTCTCTGATTATGGATGGGAAGAAGAGCAAAATGGAAGAAGGTATCGCTTTTGTGAAGTATTTAATGTTCAAAAATATAACTATCTTAAACAATGAAAGATGGTATAAGTGCCTCGAGTATAATAAGTTAGGAGCAATGGCAAGAGCCTTCCTAGCTCAATGGTTAAGTGTTGGGCTGCTAGCTGGAAGGTTGGTGGTTTGAACACAGCAGCAGCTCTGCAGGAGACAAGGCCTGGCAATCTGCTCCCATTAAGATTACAACACTAGCAACTCTATGGGGTAGCTGGGCCCTGTCTCAAAGGGCCACTGTGCATTGGAATTCACCTGATGGCATGCCACAAAAGTGACATACTCGGTTTTTTGTGTGGGTAAATTTACAGAGGTTGAGATTATTTTCTAATGCAATGGAGAGCCATAGAGAAGGTTTTTTAACATGATCCCAAACAGATCATTTGGTCAGTGGTGTGATGACTGGATGGGGAGGAGATAAGAGTGGAAACAGGAAACCTTGTTGGGAGGCTATGTCCAGCTAAGTCCAAATCAAAGTGACTTGGATGAGGGTGGGGTCAGAGGGAAGAGATAAAAGCAAGGGGTGATTTTAAGATGGAGATTGACTTCCATGCTAAATATAAATAAAAATAACCAGACTGGAAAACATGGGGAGACACCAATACTACAATTCAAATTTTGCTTCTTTAGAGAACACTTTCTTTTTCTTAGTAAATATTTATCTGTATCTTGGCAAGTGCCAAACTGCTTTTGTGTTAGTTTCACTTATGTGTTTTACAATATGGTCATCTAAATAGGTGTTTAAAATGTTCCTGCCAAATGTATATTAAATGGAGTGTACTGTAAAATTTATGTTAAATGGAGTGTATTATGCTATAAAATAGTTTAAAGTAACAAACATATTACATAGTACTGTAATATAACTCATACTTGCAACACACATTTTAAAACTTTCACTCCCATTTTATACCAATCATTGTTTCCCATGGCATCTTTGTGTGTTCTTAACGTCTATAAGCTAAAATATTTGGTATTAATTCCCACTCTATACTATTTCTCTGCTGTGTGCTTATAACATGTAATAAAATGATTTAATTAATGAGAAATATAAGTTACATTTGGAAATTCCCTCTGTGGACCCTTTTCATTCAATAGATTTATACAAAGTATAACAACGTACTATTAAACCTGCAATGATTTGTATTGTAAATATCATATGGCCAGCCAATTTTTCTTTATAGGAAAGATAAGCAATAGAAAAAATGCAAGTTTCTGGGCAGTACGGCAAACCTGTATATAAGATTTTTGTGTGTATGTGAATAACATGAAACATAAGGTAAACATTTTTATCTCATTATAATAAATATGAAGTCCATAAAGGATTGTTATGAACTGAAATGAAACGGAAAAGTACATTTTGAAAAGAACTACAGTTTCTTTTCCTGGAAAAAGTTTGTTTCCATGTAATTGAACACCATAAAATAGTTATGGAGAAATACAATGTAAAAGGAATTCTAAAGCTAAAAAAATATCTATGAGCACCCAGTTCGTTTCCTCAGTTAGTCACGTTTTTGGTAACTGCCCTCCCTCAGAGCCAGTTGGAAACAGGCCCAAAGTGTTGCACCTTCCGTATTCAGAAGGGTCTTACTCTGAAATATGAAGAGCACAGACCGAGGAACGTGGCTACAAGGGAGCATAAAGCCGAAGCAGAGAAATTCTCCAGTCCCTACTTCCTGATAAGAAAGACCAGCCCACAGAAAAATCTATGCATGTTAAAGTCTCGATGATTTTGAGATGGCGCTGCAACCAGACTTGAAGCCACGTCGCTCCAAGCAGTGGAAGAACTTCACCACCGCGCCCACGAAGAAAGAGAACGGAAATTGTAGATGCAGGCTTTCAAAGACCGTGTTTTCTTAATTAAATACTTTTATTGGGGGCTCTTACATCTCTGATCACAATCCATCCATCCATCCATCGTGTCAAGCACAGTTGTACATATGCTGCTGTCATCATTTTCAAAGGATTTTCTTTCTACTTGAGCCCTGGATATCAGCTCCTCATTTTCCCCTCTCCTCCCTTGCCTTCCCTCTCTCATGAACCCTTGATAAATTACAGATTATTATTTTCATATCTTACACTATCCTCTGTCGCACTTCACCCACTTTTCTGCTGTTTGTCCCCCTGGGGGGGTTATATGTAGATCATTGTGATCAGTTCCCCCTTTCTCCCCCACCTCTACCTTATCCTACTGGTATCTGTATTCTCATTGTTGGCCCTGAGGGGTTTATCCAACCTGGATTCCCTGTGTTTTGGGCTTTTAAAAAAAATCATTTTATTGGGGGCTTGTACAACTCTTATCACAGTGCATACATCCATCCTTTGTGTCAAGCACATTTGTACATGTGTTGCCATCATCATTCTCAAAACATTTTCTTTCTACTTGAGCCCTTGGTATCAGCTCCCCATATTTTTTCCCCTCCCTCTCTTCCCTCATGAACCTTTGATAATTTGTAAATTATTATTATTTTTTCATGTCTTACACTGTCCGATGTCTCCCTTCACTGACTTTTCTGTTGTCTGTCCCCCTGGGAAGGGGTTATATGTAGATCATTGTGATAGGTTTCCCCCTTTCTCCCCTACCTTCCCCTTGCCCACCTGGTATCACTACTCTCATTATTGGTGACAGACCAATTTAAGATAACAATTTTTGGTTCTGATCTTAACTATAATTATTCCTATGAAGATCCCCTGCTGATCCCATTTTGAATTCCATTTCTTGTGTCAGTCGAGGAGAGCCATGTAAAGGGCGTAAAGTTTGTGTAAAGAAGAAGTCCTGGTCCTTGTTCTCGATTTGCAACCACTATTTTCAGTGGCATCAGCGGATCAGCACCTTTTTGCCGAGAAAATGTTGGCAAAGACCACTGAAATGTGCTTTTGTTCCAGACTGTGAGCCTGGGAAATTTCATATCATTCCTCCCTCCCCCCGTGGAAAACTATATAATGTATCATTCTTTTTAATGTGAATAAGTACAGAGGACCATGCGTATGATTATGTTTACCAACCGACATTTGATTTTGTGTATAATGATGGTGTGCCAAAGATGGCAGTGGTAGAGAGAGAGGCTATGTAAGACTATGTATTATTAGAATTTGTCTGCAAATTATACACAATTTTATGATTAAAAATCATATATAACTATTTGTTGCATCAAATGAATGTTGAGATATACATGCTATTTTGTGACTCCTCTCTGGTTACTTTAATGTTTCCAACTATACTTTAGAGACTTGAACATAGGGGTGTGAATTGTGTTCCAGGCA